ACAGTAACTAAAAGCATCAAGAAGTACTTGGGAATGACCAGGAAAAACCTACGCTTGGTAGTTGGTTTTTCAACTGGTCATTGTCAACTGAGCAAACACCTCCAAACACTGGGGCTAGCAGACACACCTGTATGTAGGAAGACGAGAAGACGAAACTGTAGAGCATGTCCTAGTTGAATGCCCGGAGTTATCGTTAATACGAGAGTACGCGTTCGGCGAGTCCTGACCCACTCCTGGGTCAGGACTCAAGAAATTTAATAGAACTAAACTCTAAATTTAAGAGAACATTCTTAGAAATGGTACATATCAGCAAGAGTGATAAATCTGAATAAAAGATCTGAGATCCAGAATCTTAGCAAAATTTACAATTTTATTTTAACTTTTTACTGAGTTTTCTGCATCTCAGAGTGTTCTTGTCTTGTTTCTTAAATTCCTTTATTAATTGCTATAATCATCATGATTAACTTCAGTTATTATTCAGATAGTTTATTTTGCTTTTGGTTGTTTGTTTTTTCTAAACCTACTTACTAAATACTATTTTCTTTTTATTGTTTGATATAATGAATTTTTTTAAATTTCCCTCTCAATTTAAAGTTGGTAATATGGTTGGTAGTACTTAAAATCACAAACGGTATTTTGTTATCAGTTTGAAAGTTTGTTTTTTACATCGAACTATTTAAACAACAATAGTTCCTCCTACTGCCTCTTTCTGTTCGTGAGATGTGACTGAATTGAAACCTGCAAAGACGATTGTTTTTTTGTCAAACATGTCGTCTTACTTTTTGCATTTTAAACTGTGTAACGTATTCATTAACTTTTAAGTTATTTTTAAATTTTAACAGTTTTAATGTCTTCAGCAATTCATGTCATATTATGTTATTTAACGTTGTGTTTATATGCTACGAATCTTACTTTCTGGTAAGTTTTAACAACTTTTATATTGCATCAGTCAAAGTTTATAACACAGTAATTTTCATTGTAGACCTTGATTTTTCATATATGTACTTGTTACATGTTTTCAGGTGTCTGTGAATAATCAATAAATCTTACTTTTTCTTATTATTTTTTTTAACAAATTTACATTTTTTAACAAATTTTTTAAAATACTTTTCTCTTGGTTACTCTTCTAATTTATTTGTAATTTATAAAAATTCATTTCTTTTGTTTAAATAGAATTTCAACTATTTTTTTTTCAAATTCAAAAAGGAAAAACATTAATTAGATCAAAAAGTTTTTATAATATTGTTATTTTTTTTAAATGCGTTTTGCAGCAAATTGTTAACAAACCTGATTTTATTTGGTGTTTTACTACTTTTGTACAATTATTCGTTACACTTTATCAGATGAGTTTATATATTTTTTTAGCTCTTGAAAATAATTGTAATTCTTTCAAACGAGTCAACAAGTTCTTTTTACGTTACTTATTTTTTCTTACTTACTAACTATATATATATATATATATATATATATATATATATATATATATATATATATATATATATATATATATATTAGTATAATGGTAAGGTTAATTGAGTTAGCAGCTGAAACTGTTAGCAGTTTCAGCTGCTAACCCAATTAACCTTACCATTATACTAATTAATAATTGGACAGCTGTGATCATTCTTCCTTTATATATATATATATATATATATATATATATATTTATATATATATATATATATATATAATATATATATATAATATATATATATATATATATATAACCAAGAGAATGATAACGGGTACGAGTACTATGTAGTGAAAAGGAGATAATACTGGGAAGTACCCTTTTATAACTGAGGAAGCAAAATAAAACTAGGGTGCTTCGTTCGATGTGCTTTTAATTAAAGGTCTAAGCTTTCGTCAATGATTATTGACATCATCAGAGTAAACTACAAACAAACGAGAGAACAAACAATGAACAAGTGGAACCTAAGTATACAAATTTATAAAACACTTACCCTAATTTTAGCAAGTAACTCAGTGACTTGGGTTGAACACAAAGAAAGTATTGTCTATGTATATATTAAACATAGTTGCAGAAATGGTATCCATAGTTTACAATGTGTTTTTTATTTAATTATAAACGAAATATTTACTATAAATCTAACCACAAACAATTTAAAAATTTTACTAGTTTAAAAACAATCTAAAAGTAATTAACAATTATCGGCGGTGTCACTAAACTTGTTTGAACTAGCGGGATAATTTAAAATGTAAACATGACATATATAATCTAAAATGTTAACAACGAATACTGAAATAAATATAAAATATAAAAAATAAAATAATTAAAATTGTCATTAAACGGGTTGATTGAAAATATAATAAAATAATACAGATGAGGAATGTTTTTATAATAATGATGGAGATATAGTATTTTTTTATATTATATATTTTTAAATTAAAATAGTTAAAAATCTAACCTATATCACTCATATATCTAGGCGACAATTTTTTTATTCCTGAAATATTTTGTTTAAGCAGGAAGGTGTAGATTGAACTTAAATAATTATGATCACTAATCATATTACTAATTACTTGCAATTTAACAAAAATTTAAAGTCACCTTTTGCTAAAATTGAAAAAGAAACTAAGTTATTCCTAAAAAATAATCCTAACCTCTTAGTAATGAGATCAGATAAAGGTAACGTTTCTGTAGTGATGGAGAAAGACATGTACATTAATAAATCACTAGAACTCTTAAATGACACTAACACGTATGTACCAGTTAATAGTGATCCTACTAATAAAATTGAAAGAAGTTGTAATAAACTAATCAAACACTTAAAAGATAATTCATACATCACTCCAGAAATGGCAAAGAAACTAACCATGTATAATGGTATTTGTCCTAAATATTATGGATTGCCAAAAGTACACAAACCTGATGTACCTCTAAGACCTATTATATCATGTGTACAAAGTTCCACTCAACCTTTGGCCAAATTTCTATCAGAAATTCTTGATAAAGCTTTCTTAAAATATAACAAATTTAGTATAAAAGATACTTTTGGTTTTACTAAAAAGATAAATAACATGACGATACCGGAGGGTTACGTGATTGTTTCATTCGATGTAGTATCTTTGTTTACAAACATACCTTTAATTCTTATAACATCGATAGTTGAAGAACATTTTAATCTAATTGAAGCCTGTTGCACTATTCCTAAGGATCAATTTGTTAATATTATCACATATTTGTATAACAATACTTTTTTCTGTTTTGAAAACAAATTCTATAAACAAAACACAGGTTTACCGATGGGTGGGGCTACTTCTCCCATTATGGCTGAAATTGTGATGAACAAATTATTGTACTTTGTTATTGACCAGGTAAATTTTACAATTCCATTTATTTATCTCTATGTTGATGACTTAATTATGGCTGTTCCACATGATAAGGTACAATATACACTTAATATCTTTAATTCATACAATTCACACTTAAAATTCACAGTGGAGGAGGAGTCTAACTCATCTGTCCCTTTCTTAGATACTTTATTTGTTAGAACTGAAAGTAATTTGATTTGCCTTGATTGGTATCGTAAAAACAGTAATTCCGGGAGATTTATTCCATACAATTCCTATCATCCCGAAAAACAGAAAATTAATGTTGTTCTAGCAATGAAAAATAGAATCACTAAGATTTGCCATCCTAAATTTGTTAACAAAAACATTAAAATTTTATATGATATATTGTTATCTAATCAATATCCAAAAAAACTGCTTAACAAATTGTTATTCTCTAATCCTATTGTAAACAAAGATGCAAATCAGAATGTTACTCTAGTTGATACTCATACGAGATATGGTAAACTACCTTTTATACAAAATCTATCTAGATCACTCATTAGTTTATTTAGTGAATTTAATATAAAAATATCTACTTACAACCAAAAAACACTTAACTTGTTTTACACCCGATTAAAAGATCCTACTCCCACCTTACAACGTTCCAACGTAATATATGGCATCCCATGTGAATGTGGCTTAGTTTATATTGGTCAGACTGGCCAAAGGTTAAGTAAAAGATTGGCCCTTCATAAAAGTGATTGCAGACTCAAACCACAATCTACAAGTCTTAGTATTCACGTCAATAGCAAAGACCACAGAGCCCTCTATAATGACACATTCATCTTAGATGTATCTAATAGAGATTTTCAGCGTAAAATACTTGAGATGTGTTACATTTATAATGCGAAAAATGCCATCAATCACAAGAAGGATGTGGATAATTTAAGTTCAATCTACACCTTCCTGCTTAAACAAAATATTTCAGGAATAAAAAAATTGTCGCCTAGATATATGAGTGATATAGGTTAGATTTTTAACTATTTTAATTTAAAAATATATAATATAAAAAAATACTATATCTCCATCATTATTATAAAAACATTCCTCATCTGTATTATTTTATTATATTTTCAATCAACCCGTTTAATGACAATTTTAATTATTTTATTTTTTATATTTTATATTTATTTCAGTATTCGTTGTTAACATTTTAGATTATATATGTCATGTTTACATTTTAAATTATCCCGCTAGTTCAAACAAGTTTAGTGACACCGCCGATAATTGTTAATTACTTTTAGATTGTTTTTAAACTAGTAAAATTTAGTTTGATATATTTTTTATTATTTATATTATAAATATATACATAGACAATACTTTCTTTGTGTTCAACCCAAGTCACTGAGTTACTTGCTAAAATTAGGGTAAGTGTTTTATAAATTTGTATACTTAGGTTCCACTTGTTCATTGTTTGTTCTCTCGTTTGTTTGTAGTTTACTCTGATGATGTCAATAATCATTGACGAAAGCTTAGACCTTTAATTAAAAGCACATCGAACGAAGCACCCTAGTTTTATTTTGCTTCCTCAGTTATAAAAGGGTACTTCCCAGTATTATCTCCTTTTCACTATATATATATATATATATATATATATATATATATATATATATATATATATATATATATATATATACAATATACTAAGTAGACTTACCATTAAGAATATGAACGTAAGTACTAGCAGGCTGCGCGTTGCTGGGGACACATGAATAATTTCCAGAATGACGTGTCGCAGCATTGGTTATTGTTAATATACTCATTTTTTCTGATAGATCTGTTGTGACGTTAATGCCTTGATCTGCGTCGTAGTTGATCATACGATTGTTGTGGTACCAGAATACATATGAAGGGGGCTAAAACAAACAGATTTGGGTTAATTTTATTCAGTATAGTTGAAAATTCGTGAGAATTACATCTTTCAAGTCAAATAAAAAGAGTATCTGTGTAGGTACCAAAAAATTAATATAAAAATAAATTGTGGATTATCGATAAGTATTTGACTAAAAACATTACAATATAATTAGTATAGCATAAACAATTTCTAATTTTGCAAAGTGAAGCGTTGCAACACTGTCAATATCAACTAACCATGTTATTTCGCTGTAACCAACCAACAGATACAAAGAACTTCCATTATATCCCCAAAAAACAATATTATACAACCTCAATTCGTGGTTGATATCCTATCCTTGTTTAGTGAAACATGTCACACAGTAAAATTTTTCGCAAACATTACAAAATGTAGAAACAAGTTTGGGTTTCTTTTGAGCTTCTTTACTGCCTTTTGTTGCAACTGTTTCAGTGTAACATTGGTTACAACGTTTTTTTCCTCCTATTGTTTGTAGTTTTGGCGTCAACTGTAACAAGTATATGCTTTACAGTAGTAATAGTTTCAGGCATCAGACTGTAATTGACTAAACTAAAGATTAGCATTTCTCGAAATGAGATAACTTGTTGTTTTGGTGTGTTGACGGAATAATATATTAATAAACTATTGATGACAGCTGCATTCAATAAAACTTCAATTGCAGCTTTATGGTACCAGCGAACAGTTCTCCTCAGAGGTAAGAAATAGCTTGCGAGATGATCTGCGACGTCAACACCATCTTTTCCTTTGTTTAGTCTATAATTTCTTTGAGTTTAATTATATCTACACCATTTTTCTTATATTTATTTACCTGTTTCTTTAATGTCGATTACAAGAACTAACATAAATCAGCGTAGGCACTTATTGGGGACACTACGTAAAAACAGAATATATATTCCAGAAGATATACTTACCGCAAAATTAAAAAAAAGGAGAAATAATTGGAAAGGAACATCGTGATGGCATTGTAATACGGAAATGGCATAATAAACGTGATGTCCTCTTCTTGACAACCAGACGTGGAATCGACATCAAAAAGACAGTAAAATATAAGAAACATGGTGTAGCTATAATTAAACCTGAACGAATTATAGACTACAACAAAGAAAAATATGGTGTTCCCAGATCAATTTACAAGCTATTTCTCACCTCTGAGAAAAACTATTCGCTGGTACCATAAAGCTGCAATTATAAGGATCCTTAAGCAATCGAGGACAAATGAGCGGAATCCAGTGTATGTTTAATTGGATTCCGCTCATTTGTCCCTGCTAGCTTAAGGGTCTTGCAATAGAAGTTTTACTGAATACGGCTGTCATCGATAGTTTAATAATATATAATTCCTTCAAAACACCAAAATAGCAAGTTATCTCACTTCGGGAAATGCTAATCTTTAGTTTAGTCAATTACAGTCCGATTCCTATTCCTGAACCTATTACTACTGTAAAGCATATGCCAGTTAATACCAAAACTACAAACAATAGGAAGAAAAAAAAACGTTGTAACCAATGTTACACTGAAACAGTTGCAACAAAAGGCAAGCATGTTTTGGAAACATTTTACTGTGTGATATGTTTCACTAAAAAGTATTAAGTTGTTCACGATCACCTGTGATACTAGTGGCACATAGATGTGTAATATGTTACTGCAGTGCCATTAGGATCACCCGTGATCGTGCTACTTTTTTTAACAAAAATTGTAAGAATGTAGACTTACTTCGTATGTTTAACCATTTGTATGAATACATATTGTTTTGTAAGCATTTTTTACTTTGGCACATGGGTAACACACCTAACATTATTATGGTGGCAGTCAACGTGTTAAACCTAAAGTAATTGATAACAAATCTAACTTTTTTAAAAGATCACGGGGATCATTAGGATGGTTGGTATTATTTTAGTTCACGTTTAGTAATTATGGCATACAGTACTGAACCGCTTCTCAACCGGTAGCAATCATAGACTTGTCAGAGCCAAACTCAGGATTAATAGCCAATTCGAAACAAAAAAGAAAATGAAAAATGTATCGAAACTAGATATGAAAAAACTTAAGCAATCAAAAGACGAATATAAACAATAAATAAGGGAAAGTATACCGGTCACTAGAGATTTGGAAAACAAAAATATCGATGAAATAAATCAGCTATTAATCGATACATTAGCAAAGGCGGGAAAAGAGGTAGTACAAACAAGAATAAAAAAGGAAAACTATGTATCCTAGGAAACAAAAAATATCATGAGTAAAAGAAAAACATTACTGGAACAAGATAAGAGAAACACAGTAGATTACAAAGAGGTAAACAAAGCTATCAGAAGGAATATCAAGGAATATAAAAGGAGCGTACAGGAAAAAAAAGCAATTGAACAAAATAAAAACATGAAGTGCTTAAAACCACAGCCTGGAACCATACAAGTTAATGGTATAAAGAACAAAGAAGGTACAGAGACCAATAAGATAGAAGAAATTATACATATAACACAAGAATATTATAAAAACTTCTACAATACAAAACAGAAACCAACCCAAGAAATCATTAACCAACTACAAATAAAAATAAAAAAATGTTAATTTCGACTTACAACCAGAAATCATTAAGAACGAGATAAGAAGAGCACTCAAAGAGATGAAGAATAATAAACGCCAGGAAAAGACGGGGACTGTAGAAATGCTAAAACATGGTGGGAAAACAACTAGAGAAGTTTTGTACATACTTATGAATAAAATACTAATGACAAAACAAATACCCAACAGTTGGAACGAAGCAATAACACTGTTACTATTTAAGAAAGGAGATAAAAAGGATCTAAAGAATTACAGACCCATCACTTTACTAAATGTGATGTACAAACTATTAACCAAAATATTAACAAATAGATTAACAACTAAATTAGATGGATACCAGGCAAGAGAACAAGCCGGATTTAGAAAGAGCTTCAGTACAAGTGACCACCTTTTAACGATGAAGATTTTAATCGAAAAAACTAACGAATATCATATCCGCTATACATGGCATTTATTGACTTCGAGAAGGCATTTGATAGTGTGGAACACTGGGCAGTACAGAATTCCCTACAAAACAGCAGAATAGACTACCGATATACCGACTTAATTACAAATATATACAACAAGGCAACAACAACTATTAAGCTAATGAAACAAACGGAGCCTATTAAAATAAACCGAGGAGTAAGACAAGGAGATACCATCTCGCCCAAGCTATTCAACCAAGCGCTAGAAGATGTTTTCAAACGACTACACTGGGATGGCTTAGGAATTAACATAAACGGGCAAAATCTGAATCATTTACGATATGCTGATGATATTGTATTAATAACAGAAAAAAGTGAAGAATTACAAAGAATGATGGAAGAACTAGATAGAGAATCGACAAAAATTGGACTCAAGATGAATTACAGTAAAACAAAAACCATGACTAATCAACCAGAAGAACTAATAATTACAGTGGCACAAACAAGAATAGAACAAGTAAAAGAGTATATATATCTAGGCCAAATCACTAAATTAAATAAAGAAAATCAGACCGAAGAAATAAAGAGAAGAATAAGATTGGCCTGGGCATCATTCGAAAACTGTCTTATATTCTAAAGAATTCAAAATACCCCCAATACCTAAAAACGAGAGTCTTCAATCAATGTATACTCCCTGTCCTCACATATAGCTCTCAGACATGGACGTTTACAAAGGAAAATATGGAAAAAATAGCAAAGACAGAAAGATCCATGGAAAGACAAATGCTGAACATTAAACTATCAGACAGAAAAAGAAACGAATGGATCCGTAATAAAACAAAAGTGAAAGATGTCTCAACCCAAGTAGCAAAGCTTAAATGGAAGTTCGCCGGACACACCCTAAGGCAGAAAGATGAAAGATGGACTAAGACAATTATACATTGGAGACCATGGAATCACAAACGAAAAAGGGGAAGGCCACAAATGCGATGGTCAGATGACCTGAAGAAACACGCCGGGTCAAAATGGATGCAAATTGCCCAAGATAGAGAGGCATGGAAGAAGGAGGAGGAGGCCTATATCCAAGGATGGATGTTTAGGGTTGTATAGATAGAGAATTATGGCATAAAGACATATGTCAATAAAGTTCCTTAACATCAGTTTATCCCTTTTTGAGGACATATCTCAGAATTTACGAATATAATTAATTACATAATAAAACAATATTAAAGAACCAATATTGATATCACTTGATTTTTTAATGTTTAATGTAATTTCAGGAAAGAGAATAATACTGTGGACCAATTTTTTTTATATTTTAAAGGGTGATTCATTTAGAGGTACTTTTTTGGTGAGGATTTGATTGAAGATCGTGCATGAGTACTGTCAAACTGATATTTCGCTTTTGTTCAATATTGTTTGACATTTCATGATAGAAAGACTAAGCCCGGTACAACGTCTCGAAATTATTAAGTTGTATTTTGAAAATAGGAGTGCTGTGAGGAATATGTTTCGTGTACGTAAAGCAATGTATGGTCCACATAATCGGCCTACCGAACGTACAATTCACTTTACGATAACACAGTTTTCATTATTGGATAACACGCGACCAAATTTCAGAACGTAGTGAGGAAAATATAGCGAAGGTAACGGATAGTGTACTCGAAACTAATGAAGAATCGATTCGTCGCGGTTCTCAGCAGCTTGGCTGGTCAAATGCAACAACTTGCTGTATTTTACGTAAAGATCTTGGTTTAAAAGTATACAAAATTCAATAAGTGCAAGAGCTGAAGCCGACCAGACCCATGAGGCTCTTGATAAGCTTTTAGAAGATCCACTGTTTTCGAGAAAAATATTGTTTTCAGATGAAGCCCATTTGTGTCTAATAGGTACGTCAATAAACAAAATGCCCATATTTTGGGTCAGAAACAGCCAAAGAGGTTCAAGAGTTGCAATTACACTCTACAAAAGCAACTGTTTAATGTGGTTTATGGGCTGGTTAGAATCGTTGGTATATATT